CTAATGACATGGATTCAGAGAGAGACTCTCCTCTTCTACTCCAGAGTGAACTGGCTTTTCAGAGGTTATGTATTTGAGCTTAGATCAGAGTTTGAACTTTTTCTAGAAAAACAGGGAAAGAATGGGCTCGTGGATTACTTCAGTGCCATATTGTGGGAGTCGTGTCTCTCATACTTGGAAGATATACTGGAACAACTGAATAAGATGATTCTAATGCAAGAAAGCAAGGACATAATAATGATTCACTTCATTTACTTCTCTTCGTGAATTTCTTAAAGAGAGAGAATTGGCTAGGGAACGGCAATGCAGGAAATATTGCTACTTTAGAGAATCTTCGAAATATTCTCGATCAGAATGAATATCCTCCGCTTTATTCAGAACTCAACTCTATTATCATAGTTTTTCTTTAGGGGTGTAGAGAATTTGAAAAAGAAAATAACTGAGAAAAGTAAAGAGAAAAAATATTAAAAACTCGCGCATTTTTGTCGTTTTCAATTTTTTCACGAGTTGAATCCATGAGTATTTTGATACGTCTTTATTGTAGTAATATTAGTAGAATAAACGACAATTTGTTAGGTAAAGGGACACTTGTGCAACTAATGTGCATTTTACTGTGGCAACGTTTCACTCTCCAGGAACTTTGTCAAGCCGTAAAGAATTGACAAAGTTCTTGGAGACTTCTTTTTTTATAGTGCCAGTAATGTACTGAGACACAGTGTTTCTTTCTCATTCAAAAGTTCATTTATAACCTGAGAACGCATCACCCGATCGGCTTCAAATTTTACATGCTACTGAAATATAACCGGAAGAACATTCACTAAAATGTGCAGATGCAAATTTGTCATTTTTATAAAGCCAATCCATATTTATATTTCTTAACGATAACTAAAGAAAGCCTTCTTCTTATCGTCTTCAAACTTTGCACAGTGGTGTATCCTGCTAAGATGATGATTGACATTCTTATTGGAATGTGTAGGTGTGCACTTGCCAGTTTTTTTTTTATATAAATATAAGTTACTTTTTATGTGAAATAACTCAACAATGCCTCTTCTGATTTTTTTCAAAATTTGATGTCTTGTGCATCTAATGACAAGGATGATATCGTTTAGGTTTAGGCTGTGTATGTGCAAATTTATTCATTTATTCACATAATGAACTTGGACGTGCTGAATTCTGAGGGATAACTAGAGAATGCATATTTTAATAAGCTTCAAACTTTTAGTGTTAGTTTACTGTCTTTATATTAAGCTCTGCATTCTTTTTTTGGATGAGTAAATTTTAATTTGCCAGTTTTATAAAACAAACTGCGTTCATTGCAATAACTGGAGAATGACCTTTTCGACTGGCTTCAAACCTTAAACACCGGTGCATCCTAGAGGAAAGTTAAGTTTGATTTTGGGATTGTATAGGTTCCAGTTTCTTCATTTTGTTGAGGAAAGTGGAAAAATTTTAGATGAAGTTTTAATGTAATAATGTGTAAATCCCCCCCCCCCCCGATCGTGTTGTAAATTCTCAACGTCGTAAATTTGAAAATGCAGCTACTGAGCAGTTTTATATTTGAAGTGTTCCAGTAATTTAGGATAATTGTCTCTGTAATAACTGAAAATGCCTTTTCAACTGATTTTGAACTATGTTGGTACCATTTTTTTGCCATTTTTATTGATGATATTGAGATATTAGTTTCCACGGGACAACTTCAGAACGAATGCTCTATCTTGTTGGTTTCAATTCCTCATTGCTCATACTGAGTTGCATTAGAAATCACATTACTTACGACGTATGTAGCTCACACAATAGTTTCTTCTCTACTCCGGTTATATGTATTGTGTCCAGCATTCGCTGGTGCACTCTATTTGACCCTCTAGTATCATTTCGATTCTTTTTATTTTGCTGAGGAGCTTGTACCACACTTTCTATTACATCTTTTGCGTTCAGTGAGGTAGAGGAGACTGGCTTTATTAATTATAAGGTCGTGAGGGTCTTCCATTTAGTCCTTGATTGTATTTAGTCCCAAAATGACAAGAACGAGAAATTTCAGTACTATCAAGATGAAATGTAGAGACCAAGGAAAAAATTAACGACTGTATTGCAATATTTTTCTTGTACGTGCGACTTCATCTTTCAGTGAGATACCATACTCAAACGTTGGCAGTTTGAGATTTCTAACCAACGCCTGTTTTTTGAGGTTGTCACATGGAATATGATTCTCCGCTAATGCTTTTATATTTTTGCCTAACGAATGTTTTCTAGGGAGCTAATAGGTACAGTACCATCTGAGTAGTGAGGTGAATTTCATTTCATATTTCGGTTCATTGTACCTCTGAGACACACTGAGCAATCTTGCGCACGCATTTATTATATTCAACCTTGTTCATAATGGCTTCAAATCCTCGATGACCATTAAAATCAAGATACTCTCCTGTATTGAAACTATCCTGTACATGACCTACTTTTACTCGTGAGCCAGCTCACCTGTGAGGTCAACTCCAGCTGCTTCATCTCACCTTTACTTAAGTATATAAGGTCTGTCTGCATGCCTATACTTTAGGCTTGAGGGACTGATCACCTCCCACCCAGGGTGACGGACTGATCACATATACGCTATTTCTATTGCTTCCGGTTTGTTTTCACCTGTTTCCTGTTCTGCAGGTGAAAAAAATTCGACAATAATGATACGCAAGTGTTGCATATAGTGTCAATACAGGGTCAATACAGGGTAATTTTATTGGCAGGGTAATTTCCCTTATTGCACCATCTACAGAATTCTTATGGGTTACTTCACTTTACTGACACTATCTGTAGGATAACTCCCTTCACTACCGCCATTACCTTACTTGCACCATCACTTTAATGGCACCATCTTCTTATTGACACCATTATCTTACTGGCAATATCACCACGTCAGTACCTGATCAACCGGGCTGTGGTTCGTACGTCGGTTTACATGAGGCCATCAGTAACAGCCTGGTTGACCAGACTCTGATCCACCATGAGGCCTGGTCTCAGACCGGGCCGCGGGGGCGTTGACGCCCAAAAACCCCTCCAGGTATACTCCAGGTATACTGACACCAACACCCTACTGTTACCATCACCTTACTACCACCATCGCATTACTGGCAACAATTCACAACGGATTTCTTCTCTCATTTACGAATCCAAGAACATGACTCGAGGAGCAAACCCTCCAGGAACATGATAAACTTTCGTATAGTTCTCCACAAACTTAATATTCTTTCACAAATGCCTCATACGAACATGATTCCTTCTCTCTTTGACCTCTAGAAATATGATTACTACTTACTTAGGCCTCCAAGGTCATGATATTCTCTCACGTGATTCTCTTGATAAATAATATCTCCGTTAACTCTAAATTAACGTGATAGCGTCTCGCAAAGGCTTAAAGGAACATGATATCCTCTCACAGGAACATAATATACTCTGTACATGAATGGTACACAGTACCGACAAGATGAAAATTAGACACATGTGCAACATCTCGGTATCTTTATTGTAGACGTTTCGCCATCCAGTGGCTTTATCAATACAAATTCAAGGACATAATTGGAAGACAGTAGAACTGATTACCTCCTTTTTTTGTATATAGTTCTACTGTCTTCCAATTATATCCTTGATTTTGTATTGATAAAGCCCCTGGATGGCGAAGCGTCTACAATCAAGATACGCAGGTGTTGCACATGTGTCTAATTTTGATAATGTACTCTCATAAATGAGTACAGGGACAAAGTGTCCTCTCATATAGGTCTTCAGGAACAAGATTTAACTGATAGGCTAAACTTGCAGTAAATAACAGGCAAGTTTAAGTTTACAAAAGAGAAGTTTAAAGGTTCTTAGCAGAAAATAACTAGCAAATTAACCTGAACAAAAGAATAAAAGTGACAAAGCAAGTAGAAAATTAATCTAAAAGAAAGTACGGGAATGCAGAAAGGAACCAGCAGATCTGTTGTCAGTCATAATGAAATGTGTCTAATGAGATATGTGTATATAAAATGAGTAACAAGAAAGAGATCACGAAAATTTTATCACTGCTAGATTAAGGTGACCACAAGATGTTATCATTACTAGATTATGAATAACCACAAGATGTTATCGCTATCAGGAAAAGGTAGACCACAAGATGTTATCATTACTAGACTAAGGCTAGACTGAGGTGAAGTTAGGAACAAACATCTTTTCAGTTCATTTCGATTAGAAATCTGGTTTCACTATGAGTAAAGTTTGTGGGCAAAAAGAGAGAGAGAACGTTAACATATGAAAAAATATATATACGTCTATCCGATTGTCAAAAAATTTCACCTTATAGATAAAGGCCAACACATTATTAATGATTATATATATATATATATATATATATAATATATATATATATATATATATATATATATATATATATATATATATATATATATAATATATTATATGTGAGAGTATATATACATATCATATTAGCAATATAACTACTACAGGAAGAGATTGGGATCTATGCACTGACTTAATTATGAGCTCAGTAAATATGATAAACTGTTGGTACATAATAAACTAGCAACAGCTGGAGTTAAATTATCAATATTTTACAATTCAGTTTCATGATATTGTGAACCCGTGTGGGCTATTTAGAGGAAAGAGTGGAGGAAGCTCGATCCTCCTTCCACTTTTCGCGGCCACTGTCTCTAACCAGTAAAGCTGTTGGTGAGATATTATTTGTAATGTAGACGAACTGTCTGACAAATATCAGGATCACACGCAGGACCTGTCGAGCAATTGCTAGAGAGGTCCGAGACAGTTCATCTATATAACACATTGTTTTGCAAAAGACATTCCTGAGTGCCTCTTGGAAGAGATATTTTGCAAGAGACCTTCCAGAGTGCCATCCTGGAAGTATCTACAAACACTATACCAGAGTGCCCACTGACAGGAGTATTTTACAAGAGATATTCCAGAGTACCACCTGGAAGGTGCTGGTAAGACTGAAGGACTCTCACCGTGTGTTCTACAGAGGCTGAAGGTGGGCAGGGGAGGAGGCGGCCTCTGGACGTGACCTTGCTGGAGGCATCGAGGTTACACTCTGAAAAGAAGTAGAAAGAGATCAGGAGAGGCATTCCAGAGATATGTTACAAATGGATTTCATTGGGGTATGTTTCTAACAGTTCCTTCGAGGAGAACTCTGAAGGTAGTGAAGGGATCTTAATATAAGGAACTGAAGCTATGCACCCCTTCCTCGGATCAACTCTGATTACCCCCCATTCCTCAAGCACACAACGACCATTGCGAGCTTAACATTTCCCCAGAATTTAATAATAATAATAATTCTCCCGAATCCAACACCAAAATAAACTCGCCCATATATTTCAAAACACTAAATGATTATAACTATGACCATAAGTTTTAAAGGGGTGAGCCGGTAAGCCAGCGGAAGGCCTCGGTCAGATGACCAAAAGCTCCAAATGCGGGTCATCAACTAAGACCTACGTCAGGAAAAACTTGTCCTGTTCCCTGATGAACCTTACCTAACCTAACCTACATCATGTTAGGCTTTACAATGTTTACATCAGTTAAAGCAATTAACCAATCAGACAACCGTAAAACGAGTCCAAGCTCCACCCCTCCTCAGCCCAATGCACCAATGAGAAGTCAGATAAAAATACAATGTATTCCATTGGACAGATCATGATAGGAGTTTCTTACATGTACAAATTCTAACCAAAACAATAAAATACTTAGTAACATTTGACAAGATCAATTTTAAGTATTATCCATCTTTCTGTTTCTCTCTCTCTCTCTCTCTCTCTCTCATTATTGTCACCTGCTTGAAGGGAAAAGGGGGTGAAGTGAAAATATAAAAACAGATAGAGTTAAATAAACAAAAAGGGCAAACAAAAGAAGAAAGAAAAAGTAGAAAAATAAAAGTAAAAAGCATAACAAAATAACTAGATAAAACGATGTTCCTGGGCTATATTATTATTATTATTATTATTATTATTATTATTATTATTATAAAACAATCGAGTGCCCCTTCCTTGATGAGTGGTACGTGTGTGTGTGTGTGTGTGTGTGTGTGTGTGTGTGTGTGTGTGTGTGTGTGTGTGTGTGTGTGTGTGTGTGTGTGTGTTGTGTGTGTTGTCTGGTCCAGGCCGGAGGACTAGGCCTCTCATTCCTCCCATTTTCTATGGAGTAAGATATCGATCGGGCGGCGCTGGCTCCGCCCACAGGCATGGTGTCTCACGCCGCCCACGCTAGCCGCCCACACCCATGCTTATGGCAGAAGACTGTAGGAAGGATGGATGAAGAAGTGGAAAGAGAAAGGAGGAGGAGGAAGAAGAATGACAGAGAAGAAATGAGGTGGAAAAGGAATGCAAAAACAGAAAGAGGAAATTGAAAAAAGTAAGAGGAAAGAGAAAGAGAGTGACATAAGATGAAAATAGGAAGTATAAATAAGGAGAAGTCTAGGATAAAATTTAATTGCGTACATCAGAATTGTACTGATACTCTACAGAATATATTCCATCTCTCAGGATGGGGGAATTAATATATATATATATATATATATATATATATATATATATATATATATATATATATATATATATATATATATATATATATATATATATATATTATTGATGTCGTGCCGAATATGTAAAACTGGTCAATTAGCAAAAACTCATTTAAAATTAAGTCCTTTCTGAAATTTTCTCTTATACGTTTAAAGATATACTTTTTTCATTAATGTTAATATGAAAAATTTTAATTTTGCACCAAAAGAATCTTAGAAAACTTACCTAACCTTATTATAACAAGAGCAATTTATTTTAGCCTAACCCAACTAAATATATTTTAAATACGTTAACAATAATTTAGTACTAAACAAACACAATCAAATATATTTTTTTCGTTAGGTTCAGAATGATTTTGGCGAAATTATTGCATACACAAATTTTCACTTGTCCTATATGGCAAGATGAGCGTTGCTATTTAAGCCAAGATCGCAAGTTCTGCCTATTCGGCACGACATATATATATATAATATATATATATATATATATATATATATATATATATATATATATATATATATAATATATATATATATATTATATGATCTTGGTGACACAACTGTTGTTGCAACAATATCAGTATCAGTTGAATCATCATCTTCATTATTGTTTCCTCATGAATCAATCCTTCGTATTTCAAAATATTTAAGTAAATTTATTTATACTGTTCTGCTTATCTTCTGCCTTCATATATTCCTCGATTTACATTACTCACTTTGTATTCCTCTATATGTCTCTTTTCTGCTTTATATACTACCTGTTTGATCTTCCATCCTTTTGAATTCTCCTTTTTGATCTAATTCTTATCTTTAACTGCTCTTTAAAATTATCTAATGTTCTCTTCTGGTAGAGGATTTTTGATCCAATAAATTGGAAGTACCCCTCTTCCTCGTATCAAATCTCCATCCTCTGTCCTCCACCCTCCCTTCCATTCTCAATCTAATTCTCTTCTAGCCTCATAATTCCATGCTAAATTCTCGTTTAATTCTCCTTCAGCTTCATTCTCTCGTGGATTCGTTCCTCCTAGGTTCCTCCTTCATTTCCTTCTCCATCGTTCTTTTATTTCACCCCGAGACTACTCCTTCCCTTCTTCATTCCTCCATGAATGCTCCCTTCCTCTTCTATCCCTCCTTGTATGCCCCATCTTTTCTTTATCTCTCAAAGAACGCCCTCTCCTTTCTCCATCTCTCTCCGAATACACCCTCCCTCCTCCCTCCCTACACGTCTCTTTCCTCCTTCTGAGATTTGTCCCTCTCGTCTCAAGCTCTCGCCTCTCTCTCTCCCTCCTTCAACCTTCACAGACTTCTCCATCTCCTCTCCATCCATCACAGGCTCTACCCACCTTTCTCAATCGTTCGTCTTCTTCACCTCCTCTCTCTCTTCCTCCTCCATCCTTAGACTCCTCTTCCCACCCATGCTTCTCCCTTCTTCCTTTATCCTTCACCTCCCTTCCTCCGTCTGCCATGTATAGCCTTCTCACTCCTCTGCATCAGTCTTCCATCCTTCGCCTCCTCCATCCCTCCCTCCCGCTAGTGTTCGCGGGGCCCGAACTGGGAACTGCCTAGGTCCATAACCATTTACATGCTGATCAATCTGCAACTCGATTGGTTATGCAGAAGCTGGTTGGTGGAGAGAGAGAGAGAGAGAGAGAGAGAGAGAGAGAGAGAGAGAGCTGATATAGTAACAGCTCATGGCTTGTAAATAAAATTAGGGAAGCCTTAACCTAACCTTGTAAAACTCTGTGTAAAAAAAAAGAGAGAGAGGGAGGGAGGGAGGGAGTAGATAGATAAATAGAGAAAGAGAGAGAGAGAGAGAGAGAGAGAGAGAGAGAGAGAGAGAGAGAGAGAGAGAGAGAGAGAGAGAGAGAGAGAGAGAGAGAGAGAGAGAGAGAGGCGAGTTATCTCTCTTGAAGGTCACCTCGATAAAGACAATTTCCCGTGATATGGCTCCCACCTAATCCAGGGAAAATCCATCTCAAATTTTCCTTATAATATTTACTAGTTCTTGCTTTCCTAGATCTTGATAGTTTTCTCAAGCAAGATTACTAAGATCCTGTCCAAAATTTACAGATCTCAGACAGGAATGTACGAAGATCACAGACAGTGCCTCCAGGATCTCTGAAAAAAAACACTCCAGGATCTTAGTCAGAATTTCCAGTACCCAGGACATAGCTTCCAAGATCGGCACAAATGTTCACAGATCCCTTACAAAACTAACAAGACATTTATTAGAGGAAACGTTTCCCCGTTCGAGGCGAAACGTTTTTCGCCATATCTTGTCGGTATCACCGTATCATTTTTCAGAACTAACAAGATATGAGACAAAATACCAAATCCGGGAGAAAAAACTAGAAACCTCACAGTCAAAAAGCCCAAACATAAACCAAAAGTTCAGAGCCCAAAATTAAACGTAAGCAAGAAAAATAAATATACTCATTCCATCTCTAAATAACAAAAAGGCACAATACCGTGACTGGAACGATACACAAATAACCCGCACATAAAAGAGAGAAGCTTACGACGACGTTTCGGTCCGACTTGGACCATTGTCAATGGTCCAAGTCGGACCGAAACGTCGTCGTAAGCTTCTCTCTTTTATGTGCGGGTTATTTGTGTCTCATTCCATCTCACTGGACAAGACAGTCGAACACGCACATGGAAACCAAAACAAGACTGAAGCTATTACGACCAGTGAAGTATATACATCGCTGGAAGGAAACACAGCAACACGTCTATCTCGATGGTTTTCCCAAGGATATATCTGAGTGTATGCGGTGCAATTTGGGCGATATATTTCTCCTGAGGGACGTGCAGAGAACGGAAATATATTCCGAAGATGCTTCTCTAGATATAGATGTCCGGAGATATATATCCAGGGTATATATTTTTCACTCTGAGAACAGCCTAAATGTTAATGACAGTTGATTCTTGTGTAAATATTAAATTCCACTGAACGGAAAACTAGAGTATACCTGAGGATTAAGTCTAAGAGTATGTTTGATTATATGCTGCTAACTCCAGACTACCTGCTGATGGTTCCTGAGATCAGAGTTACCTTGCTGGCTGTATGATCAGTCAGGCAGTAGGTACTCACGATGTTGCTACTCAGGAATGGTTCAGAGGAACCATGCAGTTATTTAGCAGTTAGTTGGTGCTCACTCTTGTACCATTTACACTGAGTTTTCTCTTAGTATAATTATAACACTTTTGCTTTCCACCGTCTACAGTAAGACCCGTCCTCAAATGAAGAAATTTTAGGGTACAGAATCGAAACCAAGTCTCGTGGTTTCTAAGTGTATGTATCATACAATGTTTCTGTATGCAATGATACATCCTAGACACGAGCTGTACTTAACATAAAAGTGTGTAACTGACTTAAGAAATCGTAATGACACGATTGCAAATAAACCATACCCCCGGCCGGGATTGAACCCGCGGTCATAGAGTCTCAAAACTCCAGCCCGTCGCATTAGCCACTAGACCAGCTAGCCACAATAAGATTCATCCAACTA